ACATCTGCAAACTTTTCTGGTGGCAAGTCCCAGGGACAGTCTTCAGTAGTATATTCAGAGGCTGGTAAAGAGAAAGGACCTCCTCCTAAATCCAGGTACGAGGAAGAGCTGAGAACTCGAGGAAAGACCACAATTACTGCTGCTAACTTCATAGATGTGATCATCACTCGACAGATTGCTTCAGACAAGGATGCACGAGATAGGGGCTCTCAAAGTTCAGATTCTTCCAGTAGTTGTACGTATCTTAGTAACTATCTACTTCTTTGCTGTCTGTCTTAGCCTTTTAGGGAAATAATAAGGTGTGAAATGATTCTGATGTTCAATGATAAAATATTCACCTCTGCCCAGTAGAAACACTTCATAGACAAATACAGTTTTTGCATATAGTTACTCAAGATTCTTGCAAAATCAGAATTGTTTGCTTTATTCAGATTCCCTGCTACAACAGGAAATGCAAGACAATAAGACTAACCTTATCAGAACTCAAGAAACCTAAAATTTGGTTTACATTGAAACACTGTGCAAGCATTTGTATCACCGTGGTTATCATGAGGAAAATATAGTGTTTTGACTTTCATTTCACTGGTGTCATTATAATGGAAACACTGGTGTTGCTGTGTAGAGGCAAGAGAAATTTTCTGTGATATTTACACCTTATTCCACAACCTTTGCTTGATACTCAGTATCCTCCCACCGGTATGAAGCTCCTGGAGATGCCATTGAGGTGATTAGCCCTGCAAATTCACCTGTACCTACTCAAGAAAAGCTACAGCCCTATCAACCAGAGACACCTAAACAAAGCCAGGCAGAAAGTAAGTTTATCTGCATATGTAAATATTCTCACACTTATCTTGCTTATATTTACCAGCTCCATGGCATCATAAATATCTTGGGAGTCTTTAAGTGGCTGCTTAGCATATTCTTAACTTTTCAGAAACTTTTGTTGGAAGTATGTTGTTGCAGTGATCTGGATAAACTAGAGCAAATGTATTGGAACTGACATTTGGCATTAGACAGACAGAGCTCCTTTACATTATAGGGTAGCTGATTTAGTAAGAAATTTATTTCCAATACATTCTTTCAAAGTCCTGCATACAGGTGTTGATGCCTAGAAGTTTTTACCTATTAGTAAAGGTCAAAATATTACAGAACAGTTTGCAGGTGAGAAATGAGCTGCAATTAATCTAGATTGTGAAATGAAGCTTTATTTTATCTACTCTAAATTGTAGTGCTTATATATGAAGGGGGAAAAGGTGATTATCACACAGGATATCAAAAACCTAATGCAGAAACACTTCCTCTATTAAATTTGTAAGCACAGAAGTTTCAAACCTTGAAGCTTCAGTAATACCATCTGTTAAGACTGACCTTTTCTTCTTCAACTAGATGACCCAAACAGGCAATACGAGGGGACGATTCACCGCTATAGGACACAACAGGAACCCCCTTCACCCCAACAACCTCCACCTCCCTCTTCCCAAGCAGAAGGGATGGCACATGTGCCCAGGACCCATCGACTTATCACCCTTGCTGATCACATCTGTGTAGGTTTATTTGCATGCATCTTTTCAGATGTGAAAAGTTATATTTTGATGATGAAAACACGTTTTGAAACTTAATACCAATTCTGTAATTACTAGTTTTACTTGAGGCTGTTATACAGTGTGTCTGAACTTAAAATCATCTCATTTGTTGCAATCGGTCTCGTATTCATCTAGTTCATGAATACATAGTCTCTTGGCCAGTGTCTGACCGAGATCTCTCTTCTATTTTCTTGGCCACTATCAGCAAATTATTACACAAGACTTTGCTAGAAACCAAGCAGCTTCTCAGGCCTCTTTGCAGCCTCCCACCACTACATTCCAGAATTCCACCCCTGTTCCAACACCTGTTGCTACCCGGGCAAAGACATCGAATCGCTACAGCCCTGAGTCCCAGTCGCAGTCCGTCCACCATCAGCGGCCAGGAGCTAGAGTGTCACCTGAAAATCTGTCTGACAAGTCCAGGGGAAGGTAACACATGTATTCAGTTTTACTGCAAATTTAATGCCCAGATCTGATATGTATAAAATCTGATATTTATAAAATACAGTAACCTTGATGTAGATCAGACATAGAGGTATATTCCTGTCCTTCTCTTTGGAACATCTTTTTTGCCCTGTTCTTGACAATTGCTTGGCTCCATAACATAGATTATAACTGTTCTACCTTTACTTCCTATGCTTAATTTCCAGTCTTTAGGGGGATGAAAATGTTTAATTACTTTGAATTGTCCATAATGACTCTGATAAAGTTCTAAGTCATCTTTTCGAGATCACCAGACATACTAAAAAGCATGTAACATACATAACTAGACATAAGTAGTTATGTAACAACTGGAATGCAATTACATGTGTTGACTACTGCTTTACATGCATTAAGAGTACTTACCTGTCTCTGAATTATGGATGTAGACCTGGAAAATCCCCCGAGAGGAGTCATGTCTCTTCAGAGCCCTATGAGCCAATCTCGCCACCTCAGGTCCCAGTTGTACATGAGAAACAGGAAAATGTTCTTTTGCTTTCCCAAAGAACTGAGCCTACTGAACAGAGGTATGTGTAGAGCTGAATTTTAAGAACATAATTGTGGATCTTTGAGCTGCATACAGTATCTTTATTAAAGAGCAGTTTAAGTGATTTTTCTCTGGTGCCACAGGCGAGTAGTTTATCACTGTTGACCCCTTTTGTACTCCTAGCATTCACAACCTGCTACTTGGGAGATGCTTTGAGAAGCCTGAGGGAAATACAGTCTATACCAGTTCTGTCTCCAGTTTCTTGGTGCAAGCAGTGGGTTCTACGTCATATCTGATAGAAAGCACTATAACAAAACTCCTTGTTGGGTGTCAGTTCTGTAAAACTGAAGCGGTTTGGGGATAGGTCCAATTACTACAGCTTTTATTAAATATTCAGGCGTCTTCTGCATGCTTGGCTTCCTGGATACTGTCCTGGTGAAGTGTGGCAGAACCCAAGGCTTCCAACCCTCGTGACTCTAGAGCAGCTTAGCTCATGAAATAGCGTTAAGCTAAGGAGTTTCATTTCAGGGAGGTGTGAAGGTGGGGTGTCAGGAGGCCCGTGCCCAGGGGTGTCAGGCAGCCCTGTTTTCCAGGGCTATTTGCCAGTCTCCAGATCTGCAGCATAAAACTACATGAGATCCCTGTCAGACTGCATCAGGGCTGGTGTCTTCAAATAGCTGGCAGATGCACATTGGAATGGATGCTTCTGTCATTTGCTCTGCTGCCTGCTGAAGAAGGAGTAGCAACCAGCAGGCTCACCATATACTTACGTAAAGCTCATGCTGGTGAAATTGATTCTTTTCTTCTTGTTTCACCCCTACCCTCTTCACTCTGCAGTTGCTGGCAGGGTTGTTACAGTCCAGGATGCAAGTTTAGCTGGATGCAAAAGGATTTTCAGAAATGTGGCAGGGCAGATTGCATTTTTATGGGGTGGGGCTTTTAAATTAAAGCTGATTTGCTGGATTACTGCTGCTTAAGCAAACTCAAGTGTTACAAGTGAACATACAGTTGATAATTTTTATCCACTTTTCAAAACAGTGTAAGTCATTTGGGACCTTGGTATTAGCTTAGGTTTTTCACCTGAATTTCTTCATGCTTTAGCTTGGATTTTTAGGGGTGTTTTTTTATTCTTCTGTAGTTGAAATGCTACTGCTTTTATAATCTCTATAAACAGCCTAAACTTTGCACATTCTAAGATCTGAAGATAAACTCGGTTTGGTATTTACTTCAGCCATTTTTGTACACTGTGACAGAAATTATGTGCAGAAAGTGTGTCAGCCACTGTGAATGTAAAATTGGTAAGAGGTATGAAATACAGAACGTGGATCCCAGTCTGAATTTGTGCCATAGAGCAAGAGTGGCTAACTGACAGCTCTTGAGCCAAATTCCAGTCCATAAGGTTGTTTTACCTGGTTACTAAGAATGCCTGAAATAGCTTATTTGCTTGGACCATCTGTGACAGGGTTAACAAGCAGACTTTAAAAGCAGTATGTCTTTTTAGTGGCATACTGGGGACAAGAGTGAGAAGATTGTAAATAGGAGCAGCTAGGACGAGTATTTGGGCTTCTAGCTTAAACATTTCTTCACCTATTGATTCACACTGCAAACTGCAGCCAGTGTGCACATTGCAAGGCAGTAGGCACCCCAGAGATAACTTCTAAGAACATCATCTGTATACCCCACTCCAGGTACAAAGAATGACATGGTCACTTTTTCTGTTACCTGCATAAAGCAGATGTTCTTGGAGAGTCATTAGACTTGCCTAGTCCCCAGAAAACAGGCTGAGGAAAGAATCTTAAAGTTGATGCGAATGTCGGTGGTTTCTGCCTGACTGCTTTTGGAAAGATTGAAATGTGCATCTTGGAAAACGTTCTCTCTCATTGACACATGTTGGTCTTGGCAGGACTGACTCTCGCTCTCCAGGTAGTATAAGCTACCTGCCTTCGTTTTTCACCAAACTTGAGAACACTTCACCAATGGTAAAATCCAAGAAACAGGAGATATTTCGAAAGCTGAACTCATCTGGTGGAGGTGACTCTGACATGGGTATGCAGGACTTGCCTTTTCCCTAAACTTTTCCAGCTTAAGCTTTATGTGACTGCTATCCACAGATGTCTGTCCCCACAACAATGTCCCAACCTAAATGTTACAAATAACACATGGATGAGTATAAATCTATGAATAAAGAACAAGTATATAATAACTTATGACCAAAGAACTGGAACATTCTTAGATTTCCCTCACACACACTCTTTTTTTTATTCTGGTGGATGTAGGACTTGTCACATTAAAGCTTTTTAACACTTAATTTGAGAGATGGAAATAGTTTCTCAAAAAAAATGGAAAAAAACCCCACATAATTAACAAAAGAATTGTTAAAACCTGACATTATTCTAGTTAACTTTGTGTCTAGTTTGCTTTATATCTTCCTTAGCTATTACATATTTTCCTTTTTGGAAAGGTGTCTTGAAACAGAATGTTTTGTGTTTCCTTGGTCTTTATGATTATGGCTGTTAAAAAGACCTATTTTACTATAGTTTCAGTAATGGATTCTGACATGGTGGAATATGATACTAGAACTGTAGCTTTGTTTTTTTCTCTTAGAAACCTAAACAGCACTTCGTATCAAAATTATCATTAGTGAGAATTAAAGCTGTTTGTGAACCCAGTACCTAATAGAGACTGTTTACTTCAAAGTAAATGCTCTTGCGTTGAGCAATAAATTAATCTCTTTCTGAGAAGCAAGCTGTGTCAGTAAGGGTTGCAGTACTGATCCCCATTGTGTGCACAATAGATTTTGCTCTGTTGAAAGCCTGATGTGCATGTTTGGCACACAAGCACACTTTCCATTGGTGCCAGCAGTCTTTTCATTTATATATTGAATTCCGTGTTACGGTTTAAAAACTTTATTCTCAAATTGGTCATCATACAGGTAATGTTTAAAATTCAAGTTTAGCAAATCAAATGCAGCTTTGCATTTTAAAGCATTTAGATTGTGAAATTTCAGTCACGTTACTTTCTGAAGTAACAGCCATGATCGTACTTTTACGCTGGTATAGATCATTTTCCTGAGAAGACATAGGTGTACATTCATCCTAGAAGACTGAGAAAGGAAAAGTGAACATTGAAAATAGTTCAAAAGTAGTTACACCTTGTGCATTAGGACTAGAAACAATTACTTACCGTGACTGCCACTACTGAGAAACTCAATGAAATGTTGTGTTTGAATTGCAGCAACTGCTCAGCCAGGGACTGAAATATTTAATTTGCCAGCAGTCACTACCTCAGGTAAGTCAGTAAAGAAAAAATAACATATGGTTCAGAAAAGGTAAATCCATGTCACATCTTTCATCTGTATGCTTTGGGGAGTCCTGTAAATGAGGAAGATGATGAAAATGTAAAAGGTAATACCCTACATGGAAACTTGTTTCCTGTATTGTAGGGAAAAGCAAAATGACCAAAGGAAGCTTCAGAGAATATTTAAATGGGAACTTAAGCAGGAGTGATTTATTTATGTATGCTCTGCAAATCTGACACAGAGAAATTGGTTAGCATCTCACTTAAATAGAATTTAAATATCGTATAGTTGAGCTTCTTTTATCAAATGCAATTTACTTTATAAACTGGGGTATTTAAAATACTTCCTGATTTTTGTTTTTTCCTGTGATGAATACATTAGAAACCCCCTCAACTTTTTATGAGATGAGAAAATTAAATATAACCTATACTTTTACTGTGTTAAAGAGGAAAGTGAGGCAGAGAATTGAATGGAAAGGTGGGAGAGAAGAGCTGCTCTATCTGAATCTTGAGTTGTAACACAGACTGACTTCATGTGATTTTGGCCAGTCACTGCCCCTTCTGGTACAGTGCTTCTGTCTTCTAAATGGAAAAGTACTGATCTGCATTAATTTAGATGGAAGAGAAGCTTCTGCAATAAAAAATTGCCACGTATCACAATTCATAAGCCAAATTAGTATGGATTATTAATGAGAGAAGCATTCTTCTGGTCTTTTGTCTTACAACTGAATCATAGCTGCGGATTTTACTTAATATGCTATCACAATCAGCATGCTCAGCTTCCTTTGCTATGTAAAAAAAACTCAACTCACAAAACACAGTAAGATTTACCATCTTGCAAGGATTCTGACATTCAGTGGTACTACTGACGTAGCTCTTCAGTGTTCGCTGGCATGCCTAACTTGTAGCCACTGTGAACTGCTTTGGTGTATGTAGCTTTGTGCTTAAAAAATTCTTCCCCCCCCCCCCCCCCACCTTTCTGCCTCTCTCAAACCTTTTCCCAAATCCCATTGTAATTTCTCCGAGATACGTTTTTTGCCTCCCCTCCCACCTTTCCCTGTATGTTTTCTTTTATCTCCCAGGTGCAGTCAGTTCTAGGGGTCATTCCTTTGCAGATCCTGCCAGTAATCTGGGTCTGGAAGACATTATTAGGAAAGCATTGATGGGAAACTTTGATGACAAGAGCGAGGAGCATGGAGTTGTAATGACACAGTCTATTGCGGTAGTACCTGGCAGTTCCAGTGCTGCAGCATCAGCAAGTAATGAGACGCGTAGGGAGGAAGCTAACCCATCACCAAATTCAGGTGGGTCATTGCAACTCCTAAATATTTCATGGACTTAAATAAAAATTAAGAGTTTGAATAAACATGGTGTCACTGAAAATCAGTGGGTTTCGTCTGGAAAGCGGAGATGGTGTTTCCATTCCCTTTGGTGGTCCTGGCTTTCACAGTGATGCTGGAGAGTTCAGGAGCATTATCCAGTATTTCTTGGAGAATGACTACAGTGATGAAATACAGAAGAGATAACAGGATGTATTAGATACCTGAAGCATGTCAGTGGTTTGATGTTCACCTATAAGGAACATGTGCCAGCAGGAGCCTGAACTGAAAACATCTCCCTTCCTAAACATGGAACTATAACTTTGTTGTGATAAGAATAGGGATTTTCTAGCAACACTGTGTTAGAAGACTAGATCACTAATGGAGGCAAATCAGCATTCCAGAAGGCACCAGTGTGAAACACCTGTTTTTTGGTACATGGTAGTTTATAGAAACAAACAGAGGCTAAATTCCAGTGTAACATCTTTGTAAAATCTGTCCTTTCTGTTTCCAGGAGGGGGCAAGCAGAAGCTCATCAACAAGTCGAATAATAGGAAGTCAAAATCTCCAATTCCTGGACAGGGGTATTTGGGAACCGAAAGACCTTCTTCTGTCTCATCTGTACATTCAGAAGGGGACTACCACAGGCAGACTCCAGTATGGGCCTGGGAAGATAGGCCTTCATCAACAGGTGAGAAATGGGTTTCTTTCCTACATTGGTCAGGAGCTTACAGCATATGAGGAATTTCAGAAATAACAGGTTTGCTGCGACTTGTCACAACCAAACCCAGACTGTCTTTCAGATATGGGTCTCTTGGAACAGCTCATGGTTTTGACTCAGAGAAACTCTGTTTTATTCAGGTTCAACACAGTTTCCTTACAACCCGTTGACGATGAGGATGCTTAGCAGTACACCACCAACATCCATTGCGTGTGCCCCACCGTCCATGAGCCAAGCAACCACTCACCAACAGAACAGGATATGGGAGCGAGAGCCTGCACCACTGCTTTCAGCACAATATGAGACTCTGTCTGACAGTGATGACTGAACTATGCAGATTCTTTTTGTTTTTTATTTGCGGGTCAAAACAAGAAATCTATTTTTGACTTGTGCCCATAGAGACTTTCCAAGAGAGCAAGGGCCACACAATGAAGAATTGGAGAGTCCGTTAAATGCCTTCTGCACAGGCCATGTGTTGGAGGATTGTTAACAAGAAGGTTGACTTACTAAAGATAAATATGTAAAGAGTTTTTAAAAAATGTGGACTATTCCTGTTCTACATCTATTTGTAAAGAAAACCTTAATGTCTTTAAATCATTCTTCTGTAAATAGAGAGTACTTTTTGCAGTGTTTTTTCCCTTGCTATAGTATCTGGTGTACTTATGTTCAAATCATTGCCTAAACTTTGGGGGTCATTTTGTAATTTTTTTTTGTTTTTTAAGCATTTTCTCCAGTGTAGAGTACTCTTCATAACCCTAGCCTCCCTTCCAGCCTAGCCTAACCCTAACCTAGCCTCCCAACCAGCCTAGCGTCATTGCCCAGTTAATGCCAGGCCACTTCTTGCAGGCATTGTGCTTTTATATCATTTTTTTTCCCCTAGACACACTTTCTCAGTGGTGATCAAGCTCTTGTGAAAATGTTGATTTTTTTAAGACTGACCCCTTACTGAATTCTGTACATTACCATAGGCCGGTTCGCTGGAATAAGATGATATATTTCTTTGAATTTTAAATTCTGCCACATTGTAAATTTTTTGGTGCAGTTGGTTTTATTTAGCAACACTGCAGAACTATTATTGCATGGGTATGTTATGGTTCATTTTTTAAAGGATATAAAAGAAAAACAAAGAACAGCTTCTGGAGGCATACCTCACTTCTGCACACTGGGAATTTTAACTGTGCCCCAAAAGCCTATCTTAAGTGTTTTCTGTTTCTGCATTGTATGCAGTCAAGACAGGCTACTAAATTTTACTGTCATATTTCACCACAGCAAATGGCTTATCTGAACAGAGGCTCTGGGTGGGTTGATAAATCCTTTAAGAAGAAAAACCTCTACATCCCAAGTTTAAATAAAACAAAATGCTTTTATAGAATAAGTGAGCAACACATGAGTCAACTACTTGGCTTCTGTTACAACCGGTTTGAAATAGGTACTGTGATTTTTACCTTCCTCCAGGCTGATTTTAAAATCTTTATGTAATAATTATTTTAAAGTCTGCATCCCCATCCCTGGCCCTGTAAGCAAGCTTTTGGTTGAAGTCCTTACAGATGCTTGGCTTAACTCCTAAAGTGTGCAATACTTGTTAGGGTGATTTTTAAATTGTATATGGTACTAGGAGAGTCTCCTTAATCACTCATCTATCAATGTCTGCTATGATATGCTTGTAGCTCATGTATACATGCATCTGGTTAGTGATACCACAGGGTGTCCTGACATCCATCTTCAAAAGCATCTTATTTTTTGCTGCACTGACCTCAGGAAGTGAATTTGAATCTTCTGGGGTAGAAGGACTGATTTACAGATAGCACTGAGCTGGGGGGTGGCACCATCTGTCAGATTCCAGACTGCTTTTGCATCTCATCCATGAACAGAGTCTTTGCCTTGAAGTTATTTTCCAGTTGGATTATTTTTAATTTAACCCTGTATTTGTGACGTTGTATGGAAGGTGAATGCAGCTGTGGAAGTTCTACATCTTGCAGAAGGACTGTAAGGTCCAGTTACAAACAGCAAGTACAGAACTACTTATCAATACAAATTCACTTTGAGTACATGGGAGGAAAGTGGGGGAAAGATCCAGAGGAACTCATTTGGAAACTTGACGCTGTGTTGCAAATACAGATTTTGCTGCTTTATTTAAACACTGCATCAGAGTAGATCAGTTGGCAGTCTTAAGTCTCCTTCCAGTCTTTCTCTAAGAAAGACTTTTCTCACCCTCCCATCCTTTATCCTTCTAGCTTAACAGTGAACTCTTCATCTTGTTTGTAGACCTGTGCTCTTATTTTAACTTTTCTGTTCCCACAGCAGCAGATACTGGAACACAAGTTGCTCTGCCCTTTTTGTAGGTCTAAATTTGGAATGGAGAGTTCAGTTCCATTCTAAAACTCACTCGTTGTCACTTTCCTAGTGTAACAAATACAATGTGAAAGAGGCATGTACAGACAAATGTCTTTGCTAACTGTAAGTATAGCATGTTCATTGCAAAGCTTCATGTTATTGCTGCTGCAGCAGCAAGATTCCCAAAGTAGGATAGTCACTTTCTCCTAAGATACAGCTTGAGTGGCATTTGCACATAAAATGTTGCTGCTTTTTTGTTTGTTATCCAAGTTCTAACTTCTCCAGTGTAAAAACCTCTCCAGAGCCTAAGTTAGGGTTTACCACAATTCCAGTAATCTTCAAGTATGGAATTACATCTGCCCTGTTTCAAACAGGAAGGTGTTTGTAAGTCATGTTTACAAAGTGTAGTTTACTACAAATTTTTAACTGATTTCTGATCAGCGCTTTCACAATGCTTCATCTTGGTATGTTTCGTGATTCTGATATGAAATCATTTAAGACTTGAAAAACCCATGCATCATAAAACAACTTTATTTTTTTCCACACAATGTCTTCAGTAGACAGTGACTTCTGGATTCAGACCAATCAATAAAGGGGATCAGTTCTCCATTTGCCTTTCCTGTGTCTCCCTCTTGTTTTACAGCATCAAGTTATGAGAACAGGCAAAAACCACTTCCCTTAGGGGGTGCTGCAGGGTTCCCAATTGATACTGCTGGAGTGGCTAAGGTCTGCCACTTCAAAAACAGAACCCAGAACTTTGGTACTACTGTGTCAGAGCCTTTCTGTTAGTACAAGCATGCCTGTAACAGCTGTATTTTTACTTCCTAGCTTGCTGAGAACAAAGCTGTACATGTGACTTAAGTTCTTCCAGCTTCAATGAACATCTGCTCTGGAAAACCTGCATGCTGCCTCTTAGCTCAAAGTTAAACAGAGCTGAAGCCACTAATGCTACTGTAAGTAAACTAATGATAATGCAATTAACATTAAGGGTTGTATCAACCAGCTGAAGTTTTTACAAATGAGCCATTAAATTAACGCTTGTTTAGTAATAGTTCTATTATTCCATCCTAGCTAAATACAGATTTGCTATCTTCTGGTTTAATTGTCCTTTAACATTAGGCGTCCCTGCAGGACAGAACTGAAACATTCTGTTGTATGAGCGGGCTGTTCATTCTAGAGTCACGGTGCAGTTCACAGACCTGATGGTTTGTACATACCACCTTTTCCAGCAGGAGCCTCACCATTCTAGCACTGACCTATCCAGGAGAGGAGGCCAGCTTTGGCACTCACTGTGCTCTTGACTGGTGTAAGGTGGCAGAGTGATTCATTTCTGACAACAGCTCTGCCAGATAACATAGTCTGACCCCTCCTAACAGAGCACATGTTCTATCTTTGGATGCTAAATGCTTTGAAGAAAAACATTTGATCTTTAGGCAACCTGGTTGAAAAGGACCTGGAGGTACAGCTCTGTCATAGTACAGGTATAGCCTAGGAAATGCTCTACTGAAGTTAATAAACACTGAATTGCAGCACTGACACAAGCACACCTTGCTGTGGTAGCCAGCATGTAGAGTGAGACAATTCCTGCCTATTCTTCTTCATGACTTAACTTTAGTAGAGCCATGGTTTGAAAGTAAATACCTCTGTGAATAGTCTGGAGTAGCAAATGCTCTCTAAGTAATATAAGTTCATAACAGGCTATACTTGTGCTTTGCTCCCAGTCCAGACCAAGTTAAATCACTTGCATAGTAGCTCACTAACCATAGACTACACCACAGATCTACACAGTTAGGATTTCACAACTTTATTTTAGGCTAAGTTGTTGGGTAATAGCAGCCCTTCTTGTTATGTAGTCCTTAAATTCCTTGCTGTTCCCCTGGAGCATTGCACCAGGGCTGTTTGTACTGACCAGCCCTTGCTGCTGTTGGCCACCTCATGGTTGGACCCTGTGGCCAAGCTTACTTGGAGCCCTTTCTCCTCTTAGCCAGCTCAGCTAGTTCTTCCTGGATATGCTGAACAGAAGCAACATCTCCCTTCTGCTGTGCCTGCTTGAGAGCTTCTTTGTACACTTGTTTTGCTTGCAGAAAGTCCTCTGTATCAAGAGGAAAAAGAGGCATTTTCAAAGTCCCAAAGAACAAGCAAAGACTACTGGAACACATCAAGAACTAGGAAGGTTCGCAAAACATCCAGCACTGGGTGCCAATTATGAGAGCAAGACAACAGCAATGATGATGGAACAAAGTGCTGCTTCAGCATTAAAATTTCTTAGAAACAAGTCTCCAGCATGTCTTCTCTTCTTCTGGAACAAGTTATTGCATGTACAGGACAAGGGAAACAAGATCTCTTGGCAACCTTTTGAGTCAGATGCACCAGTACTGCATTTATCTTGGACAGGATCCTTCAGCAGCTGAATTCTATTTGAACACCACACAGGTTGCTACACAAAGTCAGCAGACCTGCTGCTTAAACTACAAATAGCGACACAAAAATAACACTATATTTTGGTCCTACAATGCAGGTGTCTGCAGTCAGCACAAGCACAGTGACAGAAGCCAAACATTTATCTACCTACCTTTGTGCATCAGAATTGCTGCCAGGTTGTTCAACACCATGTGCTCCTCAGGGTGTTGAGTTTCCTTTGCCAGCTCTGCTGCTCTTTTCACATAGGAGTATGCCTCATCGTGGTGACCCTGGGCATCCAGTACAGTCGCCAAGTCGCTCATCAGGACTACAGTCTGCATCAGGACAGAAAAGGAAACCTCAGAGCAAGACCTGTGTAGAAGTCTGGGGCATCACAAGCACCACCATCATACTCCCATCACACTAGTAAAAGCAGTATTTCCCAGAGAAGCTTTCAGTAAGAAAGTGTCTTGTATTTCTCTATTAAAATGCTGTATGCTCATTCTTCCTGCAAGAAAGCAGATCCCAATTTAGTGCTATGTATGGCTGATACCAGCAAAACTGCTTTTAAGGCTGCCTCATTCCCTGGTAGCTTAGGTTTCTTTCCCTAGTAGTCCATTATACAAGTCACCTGTGCATGAGTCTCTCCCTGAACATCTTTTGATATCTGCAGAGCCTTCTCATACATTTTTTGGGCCGCTGGGAGCTGGTTAATGTTTAGGAGATAGCGAGCATAGGAGTCTAGGCTCATCCCAAGCAAGAGACGGGTATTGGCCTTTTCTTCAGCTGCAAATAGAGAGGAGTGGAAGTGATCACTTCTACAAGATCAAGCATGAGTCTCCATCCTACAAGAGCAGGAAACTCATGCAGTGTGAAGACAATGGATTGACATGAAGATGGTACTTAGACAATATGGAAAGAAACATCAATGTGAGGGAAATGGAGAAAAGATAATGAGAAGCCTTTGGCAGACAAGGCAGTCCTACCTGGTAAGACATCCTCAGGCAAGTCCTTCTGCTTGGCAATCTTCTCCTCTAAGGTCAGGATGCAGAACTCATAGCCAGCCAGGGCTAATTTGTGCCTGCAAAGTGCAGCAACTGAGCAAAGCAAAGCAAAGCTCCTTCAATCCCTGAAGGGATGGATGTGAACACCTTCAATCCCTCATTCTACAGGGCCTGCAAGACAACTTTTCCCCTTCACAGGACCCTTTTTGCCCTCTGTGCAGAGGTGGAAAGGGCCCCTCTTCCCCCCAGACAAGGTCAGCTAAGGCAACCCATGGCCAATGCACCACTGAAAAACAAAACTACAAGTTTCCAGCCACCAACTGCTTCAAATCCACACCTCACAGGAAAGAAGGCTTTTAAGTGATGTTTCTCTGGCTATTTCTGCCCTAAGCTGGGCAGGTCCTAACAGCAATCTGTAGCAAACCCTGCTACATGACTGCATGTAACTACATAGCTACAGACTGTGAGTAGGCAAATACCATGCCTGCGGGAACCTTTATGCTGATGCCATCTTGTCACATCAAAGCTTCCTCAGGCTCTCTATTCTCTGATACCACTGTCACTCTGAAGCTGAGATGAAAGCAAAAGATGCCTTTAGCAAGGAACTCACTGTTTCTGAGCAGCATAGATACTGGCCAGCTTGAGGGACATCTCAAGGATTGCATTGTCATCCTGCCAGAAGGACACACAATGCAACTGTTATTCTTTTTGCATCTCCCCAGTAGAAACATTACTTTGTCAGAGTACAAGTTTAGACCTTAAAAATCCTCATCCTTTTCTCTCCAGAGCTACCATCCATTAAAGGAAGTTCCTGAGAAGCCAGCAAGCTCATAGCTAGTATTGCAGATTTCCAGCAGGAGGTATTACAGCACAAGAAATAGACCAAAGAGACATGCACTACTGTTAAAACTTCCAGCTGAAAGCCTTTATCAGAAGAACATACCTCTTTCGTGTCCCCTGAGAGCAAATAGCTCATACTTGCTTTGTAGAGCTTTTCTGCCTGAAATGAGAATTTTGAAGAGAACACTGGGGAATGATGGCACTTGAAAGATCTCTACCCTTTACAAAGGCAGACTACTGGGAAAAACCTGTCTTACAGTTTGTGGCATTTACATTGTACATCAATATTAGGTAGAAGTGAAAAGCTAACCAGAGTCCAACATACTAACAACTAGCAGGTCTCTTCAGTTTCTACTTTAGGACTGCTACATCAGCAATGAGTATACCACGTTTTTGTGCCTTCAGGGCTTTCCAAGGTTCATCTTAGGACAGTCATCTAATATGCTTCACTGCAGCATTTGACAGTGAGAAGTATTCCTTTCCTTCAGCACCATGCTGGAGCTCAGAAACTATCTGCAAAAGCATTTTTCTTGGCAGAACATGCTCTACAGCACTGCAGTTCCAAGGCAGATCACTCTGCTTTTTACTGGGAGGCCTCTGCCTCACAACTCAGCGCCTGCACAAGATGTCAGCCTCAAAATTCAGAGGTAAAAAGCAGAGTTACTCACATTATCCAGCTGTCCCTGCATGAAGGCCACGTTTGCCATCTGGAAGAGACAGAGAGTGCTGAAGCTCCACAAAGACTGCAGAGACTTGCCTAAGTACAACTGCTTTTCCTTATATCTACAGCTCCATCACGGCCTCAGAACTACACCCCGAAGGGAACTCGGCACCCCACAGCACCTTCCAGCGTGAACCAGACACTACACAGGGTGGTCCCTGCCAGCCCCCCGAGCCTCACCATGCTGTAGGTGTAGATAATGGCTTTCCTGTTATCCGACTGGTGCGACAGCCGCAGGGCTTCGTGCAGAAGCTTCTCGGCCTCTCCCAGCTCACCCTTCATGACGCTGAGCTGCGGAGACACAGGGCAAAGCCGGGGGGGTACAGCTCACGGGCCAGGGTCCCCGCTGAGCTAACACCCGCCATGGCCGCGGCCCTGCAGGGGACGGCGCCTCACCTTGGCTCTCTTCAGCAGGAGGATAACGGCGTCCTCGCCGTCCTCTTCAGCGTCCCTGGGGAAGAGGGAGAAGGCTGCGGGCCGAAGGTGACCGCCACCCGGCCACACACCGCCGCGGCCCGCAGCCCGAGGCCTGCCTCACCTCCCAGGAAGCCCAGAGCACCTCCGACCGGCCGGGCCCATCGCCGCCCCTCAAACCCCGTCCTGCCGCTGCCCTGCTCCCCGCCGCGCCAGGCGGCCCGGGGTGGCCGGAGCCCCGCGGGGTAGCGCCGGGCGGACAAGCGACTGAGGGCTCGCGGCAGCGCTGCCGCCAGCATCATCCCCGCCCGGGCCCTTTAAGAGCTCCCACTCGCCACGTGATGCACGCCTCAGCGTCACGTGGGGCAAAGGGCGCCTGTTGCTATGGAGACGCGGCTTCATGGCGGCGCAGGTACAGGTAGGCCCGGCCCCAGGGCCGCTGTCGCGGGACCGGCCGCTCTAAATAGCTCCGACGCGGCTCCGCCGTAACGAGAGAGCCCCCGGGGACCGCGGTGGGGAGTGGCGGTGCTGGTTGGACTCCCGCTGCTGAGGCCTGCCGGCTCCCGGCCCTTCTGTGAAAGATCAGCGGGCAGCAGCCGGGGCGGCCCGGGCCAGGGCCTCTCCCTGTTGCCAGCTGTGTCCCCCCGTCCGCTTCCACGGGGTGTGTTCACACGTGGGGGGGTCTGAGAAACACTCCTCTGTTGTGGAGAAACCCTTTGTTCTGAGAACGTGTGAAAAACACGTTTCAAATGGTGGTGGAGATGCTTTTGGCCTCATTGCAGGGTTGGGATGTAGTGGTGCCCAGTTAACCTGTCCTGGTCTATGGTATTTGCAGTGTAATGATTCCCACTGCTTCCTTCCAGTCAGAAGGCCAGAGCCAACAAGATGGACAGTACCCTGCCAACAAGATGGACAGTACCCTGCCCGCAGTAGCAGAAGAGCTTTTGAGAGAGATCAAAAAGGCTTTTAAGGAGACCTCACACGGTACGTAAATAAAACCCAGAAATATCCCAGCAGGCGGTGGGCCAGTCGTAACCTTCAGTGAGCAGTGAGGGCTGTTGGCATCCCCTGGTTCCCATCTCCAGCCTACTGGGTGGCCTTCACCTTCAGGAGCAGCAGGTTATATTGGGTGTTTCCAGTTGTCCCGGTGTGAAGACAACACAAAGGGGTTTGAAGCACAGATAATGAGGAGTAGCCCCCTTCTCGAAGTCAAGCCCTTTTGCAAATCAGACCAGTTTGGACATGTTTTTGAATGTGGTACTTACATTCAAGATATTGTTTGCTTCGAGTTTATAGTGCAAGTGGTTGCATTCAAGGGGTGATGCTTTACATATTTCTAGGCAGGCATTTTGTTGTGCCTATGTCCTGCTGTTTTTATAGACTCGCTAATTTCAAAACGAGAGTTGAAAGGGAAACCTTCACATAAACGATGATGTTTCATGACTGACCGGCAGAGGGTGTGGTGCTAGTGAGCAAGGGCAGAGAACAACTTTACCGTTGCTTGAATGAAGCAAGCGGAAACCAGCAGTTATATCTTGGCCAATTCGGACAGGTAGATAAGAACAATTACCTTCATTGCACTTCGGATTACTAAAGTAGTTCTGTCATCTGTGCTGAAAGAATATTACTCTTTATGTTTGCATGATAAGTAGTGCAGAATGGCTCTTCCTAAGGAAGGGAGTGTTTTTAAATGCGCTAAACCCAAGCAAATAAATGTTCAGAGAGGTCTGAGCACTACATGTGAGTGGGGAATGAGCAGAGATTTAATGTCTAAACTGGCAGAGTGACCACATTGACACCTTTTTGACATGCTTGCAGTATGGCTCCTGTCAGGTTAGAGTAGATCCAAAATCTGCATGTAAATTTTTAGAAGAGCTTTATAAATCCTGTTGTAAACTAGGAGGGGGGAAAAAAAAAGGCCAACATTATTTTAAGGTATACTTCTCCTTAAAGCAAAATAGTGCGCTGAGGCATAACTGCAGAAACAAACCGATCGGTCATTTTGGGGTATTAAATTAGAATAAAGCTGGTAAAGTCAAACCAAAAGCTTAAATCATAGAGAATACCTTGAATTGTTGGAACAAAGGATTTTAAAGTCAGAAGTCCCAATCTTCCACTGGAATACAGAGACACAGTACACTGTGTCCTGTTAGTGAAAACAGAAGGGTCAGATTGATCAGGGTGATCAGAGCCTAAATGGCAACAAACAAATTTTCCTAAGTGTAACTTTCCATCTTAACAAGAAGTTCCAATAAGTGAAGACATTGTGTTTCTGTGGCTGTATTAAAAGCTATAAACTAGTGGCGCCCTGCAAGACTGTGCTGAGAAAAGAACAACATTTTTAAAGACTTGATGCCAGAGTTCTCAACTCATGCCAAGAGAGTTTCAGGGAAACTAATATATATATATTTTTAACCAACTTCTTAAAGCGGCAGAGTAAGATGTTGAGGCCCTATGCCTTTTCTTGAATGCTTTTTAAAGTCAGGTGTTACAAAAGTGGGTAGATTTGGGATTCTGCATTTCTTTTGAAAATTAATCCCTGTGGTTCTGATTGCTGTACTTGATACATGCTTTAGTACTACCATAACTGATCATTTTGCTGCTCCTTGTTGTTTTTTGATGGCTGGAGAGGATGGCTAGAGTAGTGCAGTCCTGTGTGGCCTCATGGTGGGGCACATTAGGGAGACCCCAGCCTGCCTGTGATATCGATGTCTGTCACAGTGGGGAAGTTCAGCAAAATCATATTTCGTTTTCTTTTTGTTGCAGTCCCTGATGACCTGCTGCTGGGGTGAGTATCCTTTGCTTCAGCTCTTATCCCAGGTGTCCTGCTAAAGGGCAGTTGATAATCTGCTCTCATAATACCACTGTTTTTTTCCTGTGTTGACCAGTACGTGTTTCTCATGCAGAGTTGCTATGTAGTAGTGGAAATGAAGGTCCAAAGAGACAATCTCAAGGATTTTTCCAGAGATTCATGAAATTCTCTGTATTGCTGAATCTCCTTGTAATGACTTGCTTTAATTCGGGTGGATTAAACATGCAGAAACACGGAATGTTTAACCTGAGCTCTGAGTCCACCCTCACATCTGGGATGAGTTTTCTGTGAGAGTGGACTGTGTTTCAGAGTGATTCATGCTGTTGGAGTGCTGCATCTCCACTGTGTTCATATCACTGTGAGCACAGCAACATCCTGAGATCCCTTCTTCCATCTGAGTCATGGGCATGTGTGATAGAAAGGGAGAAGTGTACATATCATCTCTCTGCACAAGAGAATTGTTAACTGAAGATTACCCTGAGAGTTTTCTTCTGTTTAGAAGAGGTTTCAGGTCAGCTTCGTCACCCTGGTGTTGATTAAAGCTTGGGAATATTTCAGTCATTTCCAAGCAGTCTCCTAAGAGAACCAAGGTTCGCAACTTCTGTAGACCCTCACTAATTGGTATTGAAGGTAGAGAAAAGGCACTATCACAGTAAGAAAGGCTTTTCAGATTCATCTTTAACTTTGTGTTCCTGCCTGCCTATAATTGAGCCAGGAGAGATCACCAAGAATCCTTCAGGCCTTACTATCTTTGAGTCTAAAGTTACCTAACATAACACTTGTGAAAGGTATGCATGTTGGCTTCCTCTTCTAGGACCACAATGGCCTTTGAAGGGTAGGATTATATTTGACAACTCTCTTAACTTTTTGTTTCCTTCTTGTCATAAAAGAAAAAAGGAGGAAAGAAATTCCCATGTTAAGTTTAATAGCAGTTGGGTGGTAACTCTTGGCAGTCAGATTTCCATCCCCCATGACCAGCAGCTCAGAAGTAATTCTGATTTAATTTCTGAATGTTTTCCAAATCTCTGAAGTCTTTGAATTTCCTTTGGGCATTCCCTTATTTATTTCCTGTTAGACTGATAGAATTATGTATATGGAAAAAGAATTCCCTAAATTTGAAAGAGTTACTGAAACTCATTAAACTCAGCCGCCTTGTAGTCCAAACCTAATCATTAAGGAATGTCTTACGTTGAGTGTTCCCCCACCCACCTCCTCTCAGTCCTCAGATGAAGCCAATCCTTATTGCCTTGAGTTTGTGCAACTGAAGTTTGGTCTTCCTGGAATAAGTCTGTCTCCTTGGCTTGTTATCAATGAGATTGACTCAGACACATAGGTCAGCCATGCTGCTGAGACGCCAGGGCTCTGCCTTAGCTCTTTGTGTCTTCACTGGAGTTGGAAACATTCCTCTGATTTCTTTTGTTCTCTTGCTTATGTTTTGTGCTATCTTTTCATCACTGCTGATTTTCTTGTTGTTTATCCTTGTAACTAATCTCAACTACACAGATTTTTCTCAGTGGATAAAAGGTCTGTAAAGTTAACTGAGTTGCCCCTGAGCTCTTTGGGACACATTCAGACCAGCTGGGTATACAAGTCTAGAATAACTTTTAAGTCTATGGGCTGTCTGGACAATAGGCTACAGGAACCAATGTCCATATTTGACATAGAGCTTATCATAGAAACTTGCAACAGCACCAGCAGGATATAAAGAACTCCTTGCCAGGATGTGCAGCACCAAGGCTAAGGAGATAGTTGTGTAAAGGCAATGTTTTGCAGGGAGCAAACATACACCTGAGCAAACCTGGCCAGCTTTGTCTCTACTCCACCCCAGGCACCCTCTGATCCATGAAGCCTGTGCAGTAGTGCATCCCTGCATGGTGATGTGCCCTGCTTGGAAGGAAAGGAAAAGGAAAGTGGATTTAGGGAGGATGTAGTGACGTAAGGGATGTGCTGTCCCTGGGTTTTATCTGAGATAAATTTGCTGTCTCTGAGCCCTGCTGGAAGCTGGATTACAGATGTAAAACTACCACTATCCAGTGGCGTCATGTGCAGTGGAGTGTCTTAAGTATTTCCCTGATGGTCTTTAGCTTTCTATTGATGCAGTTTGGTGGGTAGAGAAAGAATAATTTAGAACTTAGTTGTGATAGAGGAGATACAATCACTACAAAATGATTCATTTGTTCCCTGGGGTTTAAACCAATTTCCCTGGGATGAGGAAGGAGCCCTGCTGCTACATTTCCTGTTGCTCAAGGAGCTACATATCATCCTTGCTCTGTCTTTGCTGTAAAGTACGATGTGTGGGCCATGGCTGGAGGTGGGATTCAAGACCAACTGATCAATAATCTCGCCCAGGGCAACTCATCCAGGACAGCCTGTATGTACAATTAAGGTGTCCCAGAGAACAAGCCGCTTTTCCCCTTAAAATTAGTGAGTCTGGCTCCATGTGCTCATTTACCTGATGCTGCTCCCACTAAAACCCCTGTTTATGCTCATTGTCCTCATGTGACAGTTTACTGCAACAGGGTTAACTGGGCTGGGTGTGTGACACTGCCTGTTGCCTCTAACCCCAGCACTGTGCATCCCCTAGGATTTCCTTCCTACATCTTCTCTTTTCCAGCATGTCTTGCTTTTGCTGCCAGAGGTACAGTTTCCCTTAAAGAAGACCTGGTGTATTTAGAGTGCTGGGCAGAAGCAGAGTTTCCAGTTTTAGAGTCTAGATTCACTGTTTGATAAATTGGTAAATCTCCAGTGCTCTGTCTGCACAGAATTTGCATCGGAAGAACTATGGGAATACTAACAAAAAGGCTGCTCAGATCACTGTAAGGACAGCCTGTGGCTCTTATTTCACCTACCCTCCCTTTTCAGTAATGAGTGATCTCTAAAGTGACTGTCAAGCCAGAAATGCTGCTCAAAGATATCTCCTTGCCTACATGGCTAACGCTGTGTCACAGTCACAGAGACTGACTAAAGACTCACTTCTGTGTCTCTGATGCACTTTGTCTCATTTTAGTTCAGGACAGGAATCACTTCATGCCCTGTTTGTGCAGCAGACAGCCAGAGTAGTGTTTGGGTCATAGGACTGAAGAAGAAACACACAAGATGTAATGTCCTGTGTAAGAAAAATCTTTTAAATGTCATGTAATTAAATCTGAGTGGGATTTTGCAAAGAAATGTGGGACTGTTTAGGAGCAGCTTGGAAATTTGAAAGTTATCTTAAGAATATCAAAACCCAGGTCTGCATAGCCCGCAGGATAGAGGCTGTCCTTAAGAACTGAGTCCTGGGGTGTCCTCGGAGGGACAGGGCAGGGATTAATGGTCACTTAGTGAAACGAAGCAGAGCTGAGAATGACAAATGCTCTTAATTGCTTAGTAGCACAATCAATGGAGCTGTAACTGGTGGGGTTTTGGGAAGTCATGGGAACCTTTGGCTACAGGCTTTCTGGACACCATAGGGCTATCTCCTATGATAAGGCTAAGCCAAGTGATCTCCTTTTGTGGTGTGACCCTACTAGAAACACTTTCTCTTTCAGGCTGAAGTTCATATTTGGCCCATGTGCTGTCCCAGCTTTGGATCTGGTGGATCAGCGTTCTGTCACCCGAGTCACATCCCCCAGTGGAAGGACTGCATACCAGGTACCTACTCCTCTTCAGTCTCACTTTCTGGGGGTTTCCAGTTGACATATGAGCCAATATTTTGCTAACTTGCAGTATGTGGAAGAGCACTTGGATAAACACAGAGAGAATATCAGTGTTTTACAAACTCCTAAAGTGATACTGGAAAGCATTAGCCATGAATTAGAACAGCCTTGTACATTACCATTTTCTTTGTGGCTCCCAGCCAGTCAAAGACAATTTTTTACATGTTTGTGGGTTTCATGGTCAGAGGAAGTTTTCCAGGAATTGCTAATTTTGCTTTATTACTTCCATCCCACCCAGCAAAGGCAGTCCTTCCTCTTGACAAACTACGCAATGGAGTGTTATCTGCCATCACTGCGTTTCTTTCCCTGTTGCACTCCAGATCCACAGTGTCCTGAACACTCTTGACCTCTGCTTGGCAACAGGATCCTTGCTGCCTTGGAGGAAGCAGTGCAGGCCAAATCCGTGGGTTTCATACTAATTCACTGTTGCCAAGTCTGTGAATCACAGAAGCATCTTCATAAAATGGCATTTTAGGGAGAAGAGCTCACCTTAGCCCTAAAGATCAAACTTCTTACAGCGCAGGATTGGAGATGGAGCTGAGGCTCATTAGGTGAGGAGCCATTGGCACTTCTTTCTGACTTTTCTGTTGTATGCACAATTTCTTGATCTACTGTGCCTCAGCACCAGTGAGACCACAGCAGGTCAGAGTCAGAGAGACACTGTGTGCTGCACCCTAGCTAAAGCAGTGGGATCCTCTGCTTATAAGATTTTGGTAAAGAAGCACCCAAATCCTACTATTTAGCACTACTAACCCCCTCAGACAGCACAACCCCCTCCACTACTGAACCTGGTGCTGTGCTTTTTCCACACACCAGTGATCTCTTTGTTCAGTGTTGTAGCAATGAAGAGGAATATTTCCAAATATCCTCCCTGCAAAGGGCCTTCCCTCCTTCCCTGGATGTACTGAGATGCTTTGGGGTCATCTAGAGTAAGAGAAGAGCTATAAAGCCAGGCCTGGGTAATGACACAAACGTTTTTCACATGTTCAGAGCTTGCATTGCTTGTTTTGTACATAGAGCCTTTATCACTTCTGGGGCTTTGGAGAGGACATTGCCCCCTCCAGAGAGGCATGATTCATAAATACACAGGGCCCAAGAACACAGCCTTTGATTTTAGTTGAGGGCTTGCCTGTGGGTGTTTGGTAAAGCCTAAGAAGCTCTGCTACCAGGACCCTGAGATAGCAGCTGCCTCATAATTCAATGCTTAAAGGCCTTTCCTTTTTTACTGTTGCTCAGCTCAATATGCCAATAGGCAAAGAATAGTCACATTCTCCTTGCAGAGCTTTGCAGGCTGGGATACACAGCCTTCACTTAGCACCCTTTTGTTTGAAGGATGAGAGGGACTGCTTAGAGCTTCTGGTCTTTCCAGGGAGCCTAAATGTGTGCTCACATGCTTACGGCATTTTGCAGCATGGCAAAGTTACCTGCATCTGAAGAGGCTTAATATACATCTCTTAGATGTAGAAGCCTCATGAAACATGGAAGAGTTCAGAGAAGCATGCAAGAGAGCTTTGATGTGCTGGCTGCAGCCATGACACCCTCTTCTAGGCAGGGCAGGGTTTCTGCTGAACACTTCATGTGCTACAGCAGAGAAGGAGCCCCTGGGCAGGTAGGTCAGGGCTGATCACCAGGAGTTAATGTAGGAAAAGGTCAGCCTTGAGCACACTTGGTAGCTGGTGGATATGATGTGAGCAGCCCTACTGCATCACCCAAGGTCTATGCCTGTGTCCTCCCAGATGACAGGCAGCGTACACGAAGCAGTCCCTGCCTGCAGGTGTACGAGTGCTTCTGAGCATCATTCCTCTTTAGTGGAGCTTGATTTCTGATTAAGGCTCTGCTGCTGAGTTCATTAACAGAGGAATACAAAGAGATATTTTCTCTGGGGGTGTCAGGCTGGTCCCATTGCGAAATTCTTCCTCAGCACATGTGTCTGACATGCAGAAACAAAGAGCAGAGCCTCCCCTGAGGCCACAGGCTGGAGCAGTGACAGAAACGCAATCTGGGGCTCTAGAAACTGAAACAATGAGTGGGATCCTGCACTGAAGAGTAGCTGGGTAGTGTCCCTGGTTCTTCATTATGTGTGTGTGTGGTGCAGATGTGTATCCCAGCTGTGTGCACTTCTCTCTCTGCAGGGAAGCATGCCCAGTGCAGTAGGGAGAGAGGGGCATCCGTAGCTGCCTGGACACACGCACAGTCATCCCTTTCACTCATTCCCCAGAAAGTGTTTGCAAATCTGGTGTTTGCACCCAGGTGTGGTTGAGCTGGAATGTGAGGTGATGCTTTCACTTGCAGCTGGATCTGGAGAACTCTTCTCATTGGTGGCATGAGGCTGGTCCTACTGTGAAACTCCTTTGGGTTGTCGCAGCCAAACCTGAGATTTTGACACTTCACAGGTTAAAATGCTGTTTGTGCTCCGTATCATCCAGTACATCTTAGGTACTATTTCATGGGAAGATGGCTCTGCTCAGACAGGCCCTAGGCCTGCAGCCTGTAGTGTAAGCAGCTCTTGCCCTCAGGAACTGAGATGGGAGAAGAAAGAGCCATCAGTCAAAGGAAACCTATGATTTGTCATTTAATGCTTGGGCATTAATGCCTTTGCTACATAAGAGTAGCACCGATGAATACTGATGAGGTATTCAAGTGCTGATGTTAGCTCAGAGTTGTTAATTATCCCAGAAGGGTTTGTATGACACCTGCCCATGCTGCAGACTAAAGCCAACCCTTGTAACTCCAGGTCAGGGATAAATAATTCTTACCTGCTGCAGAGATGGTGGATGTGGCTGATGGTGGAGCTGTCAAGTGTCAAGTGGTGAGCAGGCAGCAGCTGGGCACGTATTAGCTATGCCTGAGCTACAGAAATGCTGTGAGAGTGAAGCCAGTTAGGAGGAGGAGAGGCAGTGCTTTAGCCCTCCTGCTAAGTGTCACTTGCACTGCTCACATCCTGCACTTTTATCGGGTTCTGCTGTTTTATGTCTTTTTAAATTAATTTCCTAGAGCTGTATGGCAGCCTGCCCCACTGTGAAAGATTTCAGCACCAGGTCCTGGCACAGGCTGTAGTGCTGCCTAGCTCTGTCTACCACCTAGCAACTGCTGTCACAGCTGGTCTCTTGCGTCCTCACACATTGGCAGGGACACCACCACCAAGGTGATCTTTCCTCACTGTGCAGCCAGCAGCTGCCAGGTTTGGAAGGAGGGAAGGGGAAAGAAATCTCACAGCATCTCAGGTCCAAGAGAGCACCCCTGCGCCTGCCTTGGCTGCAGCTGGCCAGAAGCAGAGGCACCTTTTTCTCGTGGTCTTTGGATTTTAGTCTGCCTTATTACACAGAAATATGCATTCTTGCCATCTAGGTCAGTACGGGGAAACACTAAACTCAGGCCAAATCTGGCAATGTCTGTGTCTCGCCCCCCCTCCTCAAGCAAAACACTTCTGAAGGAAAGGCACCATCGGAATCCTTCATCTTGGAAAAAACAATCAAAGGGCCTAGAGAAAAACAAACTTATCACAAGTGAAACAAACTCAGCCTGGAGTATAAGGAGGGTGCAGGGTAAAAGGCCAGACTGAAAACAAAATGGTTTACTCTGAAATGGGAATGTGAGTCTTGTGTCCTGATTCACTGGGAGTAAGGGGGATTAGGAGGCATAGGTGCTGCTGTGGGAGAGCTTAAACTTGTGAATGTTACGTGTCAGGCAAGGAGTGCAGAAAGAGCTCCTGGGGACAGGGGAAGGCACCCCTTGCATGTGCAGCTCTGGACCAGGGTGGGTGATGTTCCTCAGCAGGGACTTAGGAGTGCCAGGGTTGTCCTGGAGGGGAGCAGCATTCTGCAGAGCTCCACTGTCTTTTCAATTCTTTGTGTTTCTCTTTGGATTTAGGTGTATTTGTGCCACAAACCCAATCAGAATCTAGAGCCTGGTGTGGGAGAGGACTGTCTTGTGCCACCAGAGCCCAGGGTTTGTCTGCAGAGGACCAGGGTTTGTCTGCAGAGGAGGGCACTGCTGGTGATTACACCCATGTAAATCTCCATTGTTTTCTGTAATATCCAGGAAGAGTTAGTGCCAGCTGTCGGGGCCACGGAGCAGACTCAAAGCACTTTCTGTGGCAGTAAGAGACACATCATGGCAAATACTCTGTGGTAATTGTGTCTTAGCCATGAAGTGCACTCAGTTTAGGCCTCAAAGCATTAGTGAAGTCTATGCTATTGAGTCAAGTTTCTGCTTGAAAGTCTGTGTGTCCTGCTCCTGCAGACCCTTCCCTTGCAATAGGAGTGGGGAAAGCAGCTGGATCTCAAAGTAGCTTTCTAAAATCTATTTCCCAGTCTTGAGGAAACCAAAAGAGAAATAATCCATACGTTGGCTTTCCTATATCACGCAGTCAGCTCCAGCAGCTCACAGCTTGCCCGTCAGCCTCTCCATGCTGGAAATGAATGCTTCCCACACCTGATATCCCACATCCTGTGCCCATGGTGCAGAGGGAATATGCCTCAGTACCAGCCTCGCAGAGGAACAGCATGTGGGAAAAGGAGGCAGTGCTGTTCCCAAACCAGAGATGGAGCAGAGAGGCTTCTTCTCTGGAGACTTAACTTTGTTTATTCAGACAAAACTAGATTCCAATAGCTGCAGCTGCTTTGGGGGCAGAACAGCAAGAGCTTTTGCAGCCATCAGCCACTGGAGCTGGTTAGAAAAGGCTTCACTGCAAGTGCTCACTGCTGCTCTCTTTCCACTCCCAGCCCTGTGGTGGATTCTCAAATGGGTTTTCTGTGACGAGAGTTTTCATCATGTTCATCTATCCTGGAGGGGCTGGCAGCTCGCTGTGCTATGGGAGATCAGGGGAGGGGGCTCTGTGCTTGGTGTCATTGCACTTTTCCTGATCTCTTAGCAGCAGGGAAGTCACTGGAGTCTGAGGTCTGCTGCAAGTATGGGAGCACTCCTCGCCTGTAGGGAGAGAGGTGGAGAGAAAGCTGAGGAGCTTCAAGATTAGATGGATTGTGTTGTGACAGCTTTTGTGTTGTGACACCCACTTGCCAGCTGCATGCAGTGAGTCATTGTAAAAGGGACATCAGTCCAGACACAGGCTGAGACTTAGGGAAATTAAAAGTGAACGCTGCCTCTGACTTCACCCCCTCCATCTGCCTTTGTTTCAGGTTCTTGGGAGCTCAGGCAAACTCTACACCTGCTATAGTTCCTGCCACTTCTGCACATGTCCTGCTTTTGGGTTCAGTGTATTGCAGAAGAGTGAGAGCCTTCTGGTAAGCTGTCTGCCTTAACTTGGGGCTGAGACAGGGAGCAGGAGAGAAGCTGTGCTCTGCATATTGAACCTGAGCAGTCTGAAGTTTCCAAGGAGTAAATGCATGAGTGTTGAGCTGGCCATGCAGGCTCTGCCTGACCCACTGCATCATCTGCCCACTGGGAGTCATGGTATTTGGGTGGAGCTCAGCTTTACAAGGGCTAGAGAGGGTTTTTGTTCTTACTTAGGCATTACTGCTCTGACTTTCCAGAGATGAATAATCTCTGCTCGCTTGGAATGAGGGCTACTGCTGCTAATGGGACTGCCACATGGGGTGTGGCTGGTGTTCACCTGGTGCCAGTGAGGAAGGGCTCAGGGTAACCAATTGATCTGCAATTGTGGGGAGGACATCAGAGGCCAGTAACACTTTGTTGTGTGTCAGATCGCTGTATTATGTTATCCTGACGGCAGAACTGACCAGAGCCAACTGGAGCACCAGCCTGTGCTGGGGCTTGGTGTGCCAAGAGAGAACCACGTTCCTGGGAGGGGAGAGCACTTCATTAGACCAGGATGGATTTTTGTAGCTTCCAGATAGAGCATTGACATTCCTGTGTAGCTCCTGCTGTTAACTTGGCTGTGCTATTATTTGCTATTATTTGCAGTGCAAACATATACTTGCTGTCTACCTCAGTCGGGCCATGGGAGCCTGTCAGGAACTAACAGTGTCTGAGGAGCAGCTCATAAACATCTTACTGGCTGATGAAGAGGATGAAGGATGAAGGATCTGTATCACATGTGGATGTGCTTTCTGTATACCCTCCCAGCTGTGTTGCTGGCTTTTTTTGTACCTACAAGGCTGCCAAATATTCATCATGGATGGTAGGTTTCTTCCTGTGCTGCAGCCAAGTGTGACATTAATTAGCATTAGAATTGGTAGATTAATTAATAAATGTTAAAAAGCCTATGTTGACTTCAGCTTCATTTCTTTAGGCTGTTCTTGGGGTATCTGAAGATGGCTGAACTAATCTGTAATATTATATGCTTGTGATGTGGGGATACAAACAGCCTGTTTTTTACAGCTACAATTTCTGATTCATCACTGTCAAACCTGTACCAGGGATTAGGGCAGGGATTCCTCAGCATCTTGAGACTGGTGTTTCTGTTGTGCTTACTGTACTACATGATCTTTGGAAGCATCACCATGGTAGCTGTGCTTTTCAGTTGACCCGTTTCAGACAAGTCTAGCACCTCGCGCTGGCAGGCAAGGCAAGGCTGTCCACACCAGACACGGGGGAAAGGAGACTACTGCTCCCCTGTTCTGAACAGCAGCCAGTGCTCTGGGAAGCAGCTCCTTCCACCTCTGTGCATCCCTGCCAGTGCTCCAAGATTGGGCCTGTCTTGGAGTACAGGGCGGCCTCATATGACACATGTGTGAACACAACACAGCAAGAAATGATGGGGCAGAGGCTGAGCCAGGTTGTGTAGGTGGTAAATTAAGCATTCTGTATGTAAATAACAGTTACTGCAAATACAAAATCTGAGCAACACGAGGAAAACACATCATCCTATGTACATAAGAGCAGTAAGGAATGAAAGCTGAATAGCTACAGCTGCGCTCGCTACAGAAATTCCTCTGCCATTTTAACTTCACATTTTTATAGATACCTTCAGAGCTTTTTTTTTTTGGAGAGGGGAAAGGTTCTGTTTTTATTTTGCCTTGAAATGTCTTTGGCTCAGATCCACAAAGGCACTTAATGTGCCTAAAGCCCTTGGTGACCCAGGCCATAGTTGCTAAAGGCTAACAACCCAAGGGCAAGTTCATACTAAGGCTGCATCACAAGTGTCTGCAGGAATTCTGGCTCATAGGAGGTGTAGGAAAGGTAGCAGTGATGGCTGCTGAGCTGCAGTGCAAACTGTCACATACAAGAAGTGTTCTGGGACATCTCTCTCCGTGTTGCAGCGCTGTGTGTTTCAGTCTGTCCATGCTGTCCAGAGCTTGCTTCATTTTCAGCCAGCAGGAAGGGAGAGATCACATTCTTTGTTGTAAGGATAAATGTGGCTTGCAACTGCTTTGCAGCACTGCCAGACCTGCAGGTGAAACCCTGCTTGTTTCCAGCCATGATTAACAGAAGGAACCCAGCCAAAGATCATACAGAAGGGAAGGATTGAAAGGAGGAGAGAGTCAAACCCTGCCCAAATGGCAAGAGGTGGCTACATGTGTTAGCTGGACTATGACCAAGACGCAGCAAAGATGAATGGGGCTGTTAAAGGAGAAACACTTGGGACAGTAACTTTAACTATTCAGCTTCTTCTTGGAAATGCCAGTATCCGAGATACTGAGCTGTAGCTAAATTTGGACATTGCATAAACATGTACAAACCCATTCAGAGCCTACTGGTGATTCACCCAGGTTTGAGGCTGGCTCTTACAGCTCAGCTGTGACACACAGAGCAGCAAAATCCATCACTACCAGTGAGCTGTTCCCGGGCTGCATGGTGGGCCCAAGCCACGCCTGCAGCGCTGCCTGGTCACTCCAGCTGGCACAGCACATGCTGCAGGAACAGGAGTTCTTCACATCAGCTTTTCAGCTGATTCTACACCGCATTTGTCATTATATACACCAGAGAAATAAAACTCTTGGGGTCTTCTATTACTCCCCTTTTAGTGCAATGCAGTTAAAAAAAAAATAGAAAGCCGATTTCTGTATGATTCAAGTACAATTTATCAGGGACAAACTGATCCAGGCATCACAGTCTGCCCACTGGACTTGTTCTTCAGGAGCTGGCTGTGTTTAAACTTCCTTCCCTGCTCTGAAAGTCCTGCTCACTCTCTCTGTCTCCCTGCATGAGTTACCACTGAAAACCCCATTTCATACACACCCTTGCACTTCTCACTGGTTGCATGGTGAAGCTACTGGAGACAGACAGGTCCACTTTACCACGCAGGGACCTTCAGGCAAGAGTCCTGTTTGTAAAACAAAGGCCATGCCAGAAACATTTACAGCAGTGCACGTGCCATCATGCGTCTGGAGAAGCAGAGCATTCAGAAATGAAGGTGCTGTTCTACCTTTGTCTAGTTTTACATGTCACAGTTACATATTAAATCAGGTGCAGTAATCACTGAGCTGTGGTTGCAGACAGTTAGGAACCTGCAGTACCAATTTACACTGTTGAGTGGGCTTTGTACTTAGGTCAGGCCAGGACTCCTGGCTGACTGCAGAGGCTGCAAGGTGAGCTTCAGCCCCAAGAGCTTGGTGAAAATCGAGTAACAAGGCAAGGCATTCTAGCTTCTCAAATGAATTAGCTCCCCTATAGTCTCTTGCTAACAGTGCAGGTCAGGATTAAAAAATAGAATGCAAAAACAAGAATCATCAGTAGACAACAAAGCACTCACAGCTTCTGGGGGTTACTGGGCTACAGAGGAGCCTCAACGGGACTAAGCTTCAGGAATCAGGCGAGCTAGAGCATCCAGCTATTGCAGCTAAACCCAGCACTTCTGGAAGCACTGCCAGGCTGTCAAGGTTTGACTTGGGAGCAAAAACCTCATTGTAAAGATAGTGTCACTAAAGCAGGGTTTGCAGTAACCTCAGTGAATGGAGCAGACTAGCCGAGCCTCAGGGCACATCTGCCTTTTGCATTTTGCTAGATGGAAACAGATTTGAAAGCAGACCTGAAGCACTGGGCTGCACAGTCCTGTAAGCCAAAGGGATTTAAAGGCAATAAAACCACTGAGCTAAAACTTCAGTCTACTCTTCCCTAAAATTCTTCTCTTTCAGTAAGTAGGGCTTCCACGCTGGGGCCAGAAAGAGCTGGCCAGTTCTGAGCTTCTTTTCCCAGCCACATGATCACGTCCCTCAGAGCCTGGAACGCAGATTCAGTTTCACACCAGCAACTCGGCTAAGTAAGACTTTTTCCCATTGGAGAATACTAGCTGCATCAAACAATTGATGGAATAATTCGGGTATTACCAAAGTGCTGTCAAGTACGGACTTAAAGAACAACTCAAAAACCAGACACAAAATTATTACTCCTAAAGGAATCAAAAGCTTAAAAAAAATAATAATAACAATTAAAATAGGACTTGACACGAGCAGCACAACTGGGGAAACGCCCCCAGCAAGTGGATCTTCCACAGTCAGTGTCTGACCTGGAATGGAGACACAACACGGTCGCCAGCACTCACGCAACCTGGGTTTACAGTCAGTCTCCCCGCTCAGGTTATCCCTCCAGGAGGCACTGTGTTAATTACAAAATAATAATAACAAAAAATACAGCTGCATAACTGCATAGTGGTCATCTCTGAGCGCTCCTCCGGGAGCGAGCTGCAACTGGTCACAGAGGCACAGGGGAGGATAGTGTCAGGGACACTGCAGGATCCCGGGAGCAGGACATGCAGGGTCATATGGTGACAGAGGCTACAGGGCAGTTAATGTTGGTGACGGTCAGGTGCTGGTTGTTGTCAGTGGTGCACTTGGGGAAGTCGTCAGTCTTACAGAGGATCTTGGAAATGATCTTGCGGAAGGTGTAGTGGAAGTCCCTGATCCGGTAGGCGTAGATGATGGGGTTGATGACAGAGTTGGCATGGGAGAGGATGATGGCCATGTACATCACCCACTCAGGCTTGGATTTGGAGAACTCCTCGTGGAAGAGTGTGATGCAGTTCAAGATATGCAGGGGCAGCCAACAGAAGGCAAAAAATCCCACAATGATGGCCAGAGACTTGGCTGCGTGGACCTCCTTCTGCAGCGTGGTCCTGGAGTTGCCCATCAGTTCAATCTGATGCAACTGTTTGCAGGCGACCATGAATATCTTAATGTAGATTCCCAGCATGATAACCAGGGGAAGCAGCACGCAGCCAAAGAAGTTGAAGTACACCATGTAGCTCATCGTTACCACATTCTCAAAGAGGCATGAGATGAAGCAGCCATGGTGCTGTGTCCTGGTGTCAACCCCTGTCTCGTTGGTGGTGTTGGGACAACCGCTCATGGCTTTATTCCAGCCCATAAGTGGAGTCAGTCCAATTCCAAAGGACAGGAGCCACAGCACAGCGATGAGGCCTCTTGCCCGCTTGCCAGTCACCAGACTATTATACCTACAGCATCCAGAACAAAACCAGGATAGAGCCATTATATAAATGAGTGCTCGTGACCTCCCTGCAGTGAAAGTCATCACCATTTTGGCTGAAGCCACAAAATCCCCACCCACACCCCTGTGGGAACCTCACCTCTGCCATCACCGGAGGGGTGAAAATCTCACCTGTGCTCTACACCAACACAGCAATCTGGGGAGGTGATTTACCTACTGTTCCGGAGAGGCACCAAGCACCGCCCCTGCCCACAGACATCCTTCAATGGGAGGTATGAACTGGAGTCTTAAAGAGGGCTTTATCATTGCATGAGCCGAACCCACCAACTGCAAGGAAGGCAAGAACAGGAGGAAGGCTCACTCTGTAACCACCAGCTTACCCTCTTGCTCTAAGCAGCCACTAATGGGCATGCTGGGGCACGCTGCTGGGCTACATGAACTTCTGGGCTGATCTGCTACAGCTGAGACAATGCTGGCTCTCAATTCTCCCCTGTAATAGGCAGCTAAAGACTTAACCAGCCTCACCACACACTTACAGCCTTTATACCAAAGCCAACTTGCTTCAACTGCTCATGTGCCTGCAGCAATGCTGGCTTTCACTGGAGATTGCAGCGGTCCTGAAATATGATGTCCCTTCCCATGCTAGCTCATACACTCAAGTGGGAAGTACACATGTGTGTGGAAAGCAGGGATTCTGCTAGTTTCCCAAACAGTGCAATTCCTGGCTTACAGATGCCAGACTGCAGCCCACACAAACTTGTTCTGGGTGGATAGCAATACCCTGAAAGACTTTTCTGAGCCAACATCTGAAAGCAACTGCTAATGATGGATTGCTTAGGAGAATTACAAGTGAGGGTTTGTGTCTCCGTTCAGTCTCGCATCCAGGCAATGGGGCTGGGAGCCAGGGACATGGGCTTCTTCCCCTGTTTGACATCCCTGCTTTGTGCATCCTCCAACAGCACTGAGGTGGGCAGCTTCACCCAGCTCTGGTGTCAGCCTTCACTGCTCAGGTATGTGATGTGCCTGTTCTATAGGACATGCACCACGGAGGGGCCCTGAAGCCACACACAGATCTGCAGCTCCTGAAGCCCTCAGTGGGGTTAAACCACACAGCTGCCTGTGGTTAACTAATGCCTGAGCGCTGCTCACCCGCCGTAACTGCTTGTAAAGAGCCAGATTTAAACCAATGCCTTCCCTGGGCACCTGCTGCTCTTACATGTGCTACACAGAAGCTCCGCTGTGGCCCAGGGGCAGGCTGATGCAGTGCCGAAGGGCACAAAGCCCTGTGCTGCCCCACTCCTTTCCCAACCCCAGGCACCGGGTGCCTTCACGGCCAGGAAAGCCAAGGTGCCCCTCCACGTCCCAGCTTCTCAGAGACACGAACAGCAAAAGCCAAGCCGGTTTGGGTGCACCCAGCGCAGATGCCAATGTCTCTCCTTAGAGACATGGAGAACCAGCGACTGCCAGCAAGACAACATGAGAAACCCATTACTGTCCTCCCCCAGCCCGTTAGCTGCCGGCTGACATGCATGTCCCCTCCTTCCCACCCCCTGCTCCCAGCGCGTGTTTACTCTGGCTCGGCTTCCCTGCTCCTCCTTTCCTAGGGACGTTTGTTCTGATTTTCTTCCGGCCCGCGATGCCGGGGAGGGCTCGGTTCCCACAGAACCGCAGCTGTGCCTCTGAATCACGCTGCGGCCGCCTCCGTGCGAGCCCTGTCCCGCTCCTCCTGCCAGCCACGGGGACGGGAGCGTGAATGGGGGGGGGGGCTGGGGGGAGCCCTCAGCTCCTCTGCGTGGCCACTGGGAGCAGGGCTTGCTCTGGGCATGGCCAGGAGGATGCGGGGACAGCAGCCAACGTGTGAGCACACTCCACGGCACAGGTGTCTGAAGGGCAGGTGCAGCCACTGAGAGGGTTCTCCTGGACTTTTCTCTCATTCCCACTAAGTCTCGCTGCTCCAGAAGGTGAGAAGTTATCAGACAGGGCACCAGTGAGGCCAAGCCCATTGCTTTCAAAACCCCGTGGTAAGTTTTAAACAGCCAGAGCTGGTCTGGGGTTGCGGGGCCTGAAAACATAAAGATTTGATTAGGAGCAAGTTCCCAGAAATCCAGTCTCTTGGCAAAGTCTGGATCTCGAGCTCCAGCATTGGCCAGGCTTAGTCAGTGCTGCAGGAGCACCGAGAGCTGCTGCTGCCCTACGGCTCCACACGTGGGAAGAGGAAAACGTGGCTCCTTGGCTTGTGCTGTTCGTGTTTAGTTGCTCCTCCCCTGCCACATCCCCAGAGCTGCTGTATTGACACTGGAGAACGCAAAAGGGACCATTGTTCAGAAACAGAAACTGAAGGGGTTGAGCAGTTTGCGTCCCTCAATCGGGCTGTGCGCAGGAACACAAGGGAAAGCCAGCACCGCTCCGCGCGTCCACCACTGCCTCTTGCTGAGAACACACGACCCCAGATAAGGCTCCTTCCGCCTGCTCTTCTGAACTCTTCTGCAAAGACAAGGCCCGTCCTGAAGGTTTACAGAAGCAGTTCAGAAGTCCCTTGGTTTTCCAGGGGCTGTGATGGTGATGTGTTCACTTTAGTGCTGCTCACTCCTCCCCAGCGCACAGCAGAGCTGCCACCAGCATCACGTTTAAACGCTGTGAGAAGGAGATGGCAAATGTGCTGTGCAAGAGCCAGAGCAACGGGGAGGGCTGACAGCCTGTCAGTGAAGAGATGGTCTTCGTTGGAGATGGTTATTCACAGTGAACACCTGCGCTCCTTGGATTAGCTTTGCTTTCACGGGGGTACATCACGCATGATCATGAGTAAGGGTGATGGTCGCTGCTGTGACTACAGAAAGGGCCTGTGCAAACACCCGGGTGCTGAGTCGCCAGCCAGAAGAGGCCAAGGTGAAAGTGGGAATAGCTTGATGTTCTAACGTAATCATTACCTTAGTACATTGATTTGGTGGGACGCTGCCGGTACTGCCCTTAAGTTAAGGGAAGGTAAGCACGTGCTTAGAGATAAAGTGCGTGTTGTCACCAAATCACAGTATGAAGAGTCATGCTGGGAGCAGCAAGGGTTGCAGAATCTACATGACGGAGCAGCTCCTGTCATGAACCACCACCAGTGAAAGCAGGCAGGGGCTCTGGGAGAGCTGGGCTGGGCCCCAGCCTTTTTCTCAGCATTATAAAACATGACCAGACAGTGAGGAACCAGGTTTTCACAGCTCTGACTGCTCCAGCAAACCCCTCCTTCATTCTCTTCTCAGCTTAATATTGTTAGGCAAAGAACCATTAAAGTAAATTCACTCACCTACTGTATAACAGCTACTGAACCTCCTCTGTGTTTCTGCCCAGAGGCATGAAACGTAGCTTCAATGTAAATAACAGCTGAATATTTAAAACTGATTTATTGAGGTGAAGTAACTCTGGCAATGCATCAGTTCCTCTTGCACTGCCAGGCAGCCTCTTTACTGGCATCATCATCATCATCAAGCAGGTAATTATCTCTGCCGTGGACATGCTGCAGAAGCCCCGATGCTACCCCTCAGTGTGCTGCCACCATGGAGTGATTCAGGATCTATTCCTCTGATATATAAACACATATGTTGGCCACCATTGTCACGGTCACACAGGCCGGGTTCCAAGTCAAACGCTTTAAATAAAGCTCAGCTGCTGTCACCCCATGGCTCTGACCCTCTGGTCAAGCACTGCTGGGATGTGCCTGCAGAGGCTTCACCCAGAGCACGACACAGCTCTGCTGTCACCAGGCCAGAGAGTGAGCAACGACCTGGCCACTGATGACCCCTGAGCTGGCCCATGGCCTGGAGATGGTGCCCTTCACCCAGCAGACATCCTTGTCACTCTGTTTCAGTGATGGCACAGCAAGGTCCAAAGCTTCTCTTGCAGAGCATCATGGCAACCACCAAAATGACCAAGCTGCCCATTGGCGCAGGGTGTGCGAAGTTTCTCTGCGCTCTCCAGGCACTGTGCTTCTGTAGGTAGGGGTCATGGTTGGGGATCTTTCCCAACAGCTCTCATGGCATTTCTCCTGCTGTTTCCTAGAGCTGGGCACCAGCCCAGACACCCAGGCAGGCAGCACTGAGCACAGCTGGAGCAGAGCAGGACGCGCTGCCAGCCCACAGCCAGCCCAGCCTCTCCCAAGCAGGGATTTGGCTCCTGAATGGCAGGAACTGAGTCATGTCCTGCACGTAGCTGGCATCTCCCCATCAGCCCCGTGGAGATCACCTAGGCAGAGGCACTGCTGCTGCTGAGCTCCTGTCAAACAAGGAGCATACAGTAGCACCAAGGTGTCATTCAGCATTTGGGGAGATTAGACTTGGGGTGGAAAAGAGCAACAGCCTGGAGGAACCAGTCTGGAAGGGGACCATGGTTCCCATGTGAACTATCTCAGAGAATCCTTTATTTATCTCAGAGAATCCCAGACTGCTTTGGGTTGAAGGGACCTTAAAGCTCATCCAGTTCCAACCCCTGCCATGGGCAGGGACACCTTCCACTAGAGCAGCTTGCTCCAAGCCCCTGTGTCCAACCTGGCCTTGAGAGCAGGAAAGGGGGAGAAGAATCCCACACGGTCCCCAAGCAGCCCTGAAAGCTGAGCAGATCAAAACATTGCGGTGCCGCAAACCCACTCTCCTGGTGCTGGGCAGAGTCTGAGGGTGGCCCTGACCATGATGATGGTCTGGGCCCTGACTGATAAGTTACTGAGTAAATAAACCTGAGGTTAGCAAAGAGCAAAGCCAATAGCAAGCAGTTTGTTTTACTGAGCATCTGAGACGTTGCTGAACCAAAGGGGCATCTGCAAGCTGAGGAACTGCGTCAGCACTTGCCCCCATGTGCTCATCAGCGCTGCAGTGCAGGGTCTACATTGGGCACCATCCAACCACACAGCCCTTGTCCTGCCTGGGGACAGGCAGGCAGGATGTGACCCCTTACATTTGTCCACCCTGTTCCCAAAGTCTTTCCCAACTTCCCCTGCTGCTGGGCTGCTGTTGGAGACACAAAAATGAG